GCTCTGCTGTCCCCTCTGATCTCTGCTGTCCCCTCTGATCTCTGCTGTCCCCTCCCTGCTCTGCTGTCCCCTCTGATCTCTGCTGTCCCCACCAAGCTCTGCTATCACAAATTATCTCTGCTGTCCCCTCCTCCCCTCAGCTGTCCCCACCAAGCTCTGCTGTCCCCACTGATCTTTGCTGTCCCCTCTGCTGTCCCCACCAAGCTCTGCTGTCCCCTCCGAGCTCTGCTCTCCCTGTGCCCATCAGTGGCAGGTGCCAGGATGCAGACAGGACAGGAGGGACAATGACACCGTTGCAGGCTTGGATGTGCCGGTGGCCAGCCGGCCTCAGTGCTCTCCTCGCCACAGCCCAGCCTGTCCCGAGGCTGCCGCTGTCACCTGGCTGTCACCGCAGGGCCACCATGCCACCTTCCTGTGACGTTTCCCCATCACATGAAGCCTCTTGCAGCTTTGGTCGCTGCTTCCTGCCTGTGGCCGGCAGCAGAGGCAGAGCAGAGCAGGGCAGCAGGGCTGCCTCACCCTGCCTGTCCCCTGCCTGTCCCCTGCTTGTCCCCTGCCTGTCCCCTGCTTGTCCCCTGCTTGTCCCCTGCTTGTCCCCTGCCTGTCCCCTGCCTGTCCCCTGCTTGTCCCCTGCTTGTTCCCTGCTTGTTCCCTGCCTGTCCCCTGCCTGTCCCCTGCTTGTCCCCTGCTTGTTCCCTTCCTGTCCCCTGCTTGTTCCCTGCTTGTTCCCTGCCTGTCCCCTGCCTGTCCCCTGCTTGTCCCCTGCTTGTTCCCTTCCTGTCCCCTGCTTGTCCCCTGCTTGTTCCCTGCTTGTTCCCTGCCTGTCCCCTGCCTGTCCCCTGCTTGTTCCCTTCCTGTCCCCTGCCTGTCCCCTGCTTGTTCCTTTCCTGTCCTGCTCGTCTTCCTGCTCATTCCCTGCCTGTCCCCTTCGCGTCCCCCTGCCCATCCTGCTTGTCCCCTGCCTGTCCCCTGCTTGTTCCCTTCCTGTCCCCCTGCCCATCCTGCTCATTCCCTGCTTGTCCCCTGCCCATCCCCTCCCCATCCTGCCTGTCCCCTGCTCGTCCTGCCCATCCCCTGCCTGTCCTGCCTGTCCCCCTGCCTGTCCTGTCCATCCCCTGCCCATCCTGTCCATCCCCTGCCCATCCCCTGCCTCTCCCCTGCCTCTCCCCTGCCTGTCCCCTGCCTGTCCCCTGCCCATCCCCTGCCCCTGCATCACCAGCCACAGACACTGAGCAGAGGTAGGAACTTGGGCTGGGGGCTGGGCTTGGGTTTGGGGGCTGGGGTTGGGTTTGCAGCAAGGCCAAGGAGTGAACCCTGAGCAGGGGACGCTGGACAGGCAGTGCAGGGAGGTCCCCCTGCCCAAAGGCAGGACAAAAGGCACATTAATGGGGTGAAAAGAGAGGGATTGTGGTCCCCTGCCCACGCCAGCCCTTCCAGCCAGATCTTATCCTCTCCAAAGGGGGAAGTTCAGCCCGGAACTGTCTCACAGAGCAAAACCTCCAGCCCGTTTCAGGGCTGATCTGACTCGTTCCCACCTCAGCACTGCGGGGTTTCAGAGGCAGATCCTGCCCCAGGGAGCAAATCCCCCCCAGCTGCCCCTCCAAAGCTGCTGGGGGAGCAGGGCTGAGCCCCCCAGCCCTGGCCAGCACCCCTGGGGGATGCACATCGAGCTGGGGACAGTGGCATTGTCCCCAACAGCCTGACCTGGGCAGGAGCTGACCCCGATTCTCCTTCCCAGCACTCCCTGAGCTGGGTTAGTGCAGTTTGGGGTGTTTTGTTTCTCTTTGTCAACACCTTCCTCACCTTCCCCTGCCTGCAGGGGTGCAGGGCTGGGCTGGGCACTGCTGTGGGTTAAAGGTGGAGCTGGGGTGCCTTTGCTGCATCCCCTTGAAAAGGTGGCTGTGTCCCAGTTGGTCTCAGAAAAGGTGGCTGGGTCCCCTCACTCTCAGAAAAGGTGGCTGGGTCCCCTTGCTCTCAGAAAAGGTGGCTGTGTCCCAGTTGGTCTCAGAAAAGGTGGCTGGGTCCCCTCACTCTCAGAAAAGGTGGCTGGGTCCCTCTTCCTCTCAAACAAGCCTGGACCCACTCCTCTGACTCAGCTTTGCCTCCCAGATCCAAGCAGCCCCGGCATCTTCCACCCCCTCAAGCATCTGCTGGGCATTAACGTTGTTTTGCTGGGTGTTGGCAGCTCAGGGTCAAGCTCAAGGTCCCTCAGGAGCTGCTCAGCCTCTCCCTCACCTTCCCAGGGCTGAGCTGACACAGTGAGGCCTTCGGAGGGGCAGGAGGATTCACATGCTCCCTGCTGAGCTCCTCCCCACCTACATCAGTGTCCCCCCTTCTCCTCTGGGGTGCCAAAGTCACTGTCCCCCGTCCCCCTCCATTTTACAGCCCGGAGAGGATCAGGGCACAGAGCCTGAGCTTGGGGAGCACAAGGTGAAGGTGATGGTGACAGCAGGGCCTGTGGGGGTGTCTTGGAGCCCCCCAGTGCTCTCCCCTGCCCTGAGCCTCTTCCTCCCCTCTCCCTGGCACAGGGCACTCCATGGATGACGAGCGACCCCTCTTCAGCACCTTCAAGCCCCTCGGTGAGGACAGCACAGGCAGAGCCAAGGCAGCGTCCAGCAACGCCCCCAGCCAGCCCCAGGGGGCTTCAGAGCAGCCCCCAGGATGGCCCAGCAGACACAGCAGGGTAGGACATGGGGACAGCAGCCATGGCAAGATAGGACATGGGGACAGCAGCCATGGCACGGTGGGACATGGGGACAGCAGATACGGCAGGGTAGGACATGGGGACAGCAGCCATGGCAAGGTAGGACATGGGGACAGCAGATATGGCAGGGTAGGACATGGGGACAGCAGACACAGCAGGGTAGGACACAGGGACAACAGACACGGCAGGGTGGGACATGGGGACAGCAGACACGGCAGGGTAGGACACAGGGACAGCAAACATGGCAAGGTAGGACATGGGGACAGCAGCCATGGCAGGGTAGGACACAGGGACAGCAGATATGGCAAGGTAGGACACAGGGACAGCAAACACGGCAGGGTAGGACATGGGGACAGCAGCCATGGCAGGGTGGGACATGGGGACAGCAGACACAGCAGGGTAGGACACAGGGACAGCAGCCATGGCAGGGTAGGACATGGGGACAGCAGACACAGCAGGGTGGGACATGGGCACAGCAGCCATGGCAGGGTGGGACATGGGCACAGCAGCCATGGCAGGGTGGGACATGGGGACAGCAGACACAGCAGGGTGGGACATGGGGACAGCAGCCATGGCAGGGTAGGACATGGGGACAGCAGCCATGGCAGGGTGGGACATGGGGACAGCAGACACAGCAGGGTAGGACATGGGGACAGCAGCCATGGCAAGGTAGGACATGGGGACAGCAGACACAGCAGGGTGGGACACGGGGACACCAGGGTGGGCACAGCCCAGCTCACCCTCCCAGTGCTCCCATGCCCTCAGGGCTGCACTGGCAGCTGAACGTCCTTGCTGTGTGTCCTCCCCTGAGCTCCCGGTGCTGTCCCTGTCCCCTCAGGTCCCCCCAGGTTTCCGGCCAGCCCCGGCAGCCCAGTCCCTGCCCGAGGATGAGGAGAGGGTGGCGCTGCGGGCCCGCACCCGCCTGTGGTTCGAGCAGACACAGGCACAGAGGCTGGGGCCCGAGGGGGAGCTGCCCTCGTGGTTCCACGGCTTCATCAGCCGCAGGTGAGGCAGGGAGGGCAGGGCGGGGAGCAGGGGATGGGTTCAGCCCGGTGTCCCCTCCCTGGGCTCCCAGACAGGGAGCTGCAGCCCTGCATGGCAGGGAGGGGATGAGCTCGGACGGCTCGGTGTCATCCATTCCTGCAGGGAGGCAGAGGAGCTGCTGCAGGATCAGCCCCTGGGCTGCTTCCTGGTGCGCTTCAGCGAGAGCACCGTGGGCTTCGTGCTGTCCTACAGGTGAGCAAAGACAAGGCCTGGCTGAGGAGGGGCAGCCAGCTCAGGTCCCTCCTGGCTGCTGTGCCCATGCCGTGCCGTGCCATGCCATGCCGTGCCATGCCATGCTGTGCTGTGCATTCCGTGCTGTCCTACAGGTGAGCAAAGACATGGCCCGGGCTGAGGAGGGGTGGCCAGCTCAGGTCCCTCCTGGCTGCTGTGCCCATGCCATGCCATGCCGTGCCATGCTGTGCCCATGCTGTGCCCATGCCGTGCCATGCTGTGCCATGCTGTGCCACGCTGTGCCACGCTGTGCCATGCTGTGCCATGCCGTGCCATGCCATGCCATGCTGTGCCCATGCCGTGCCATGCTGTGCCATGCCGTGCCATGCCATGCCATGCTATGCCATGCCGTGCCATGCCATGCCATGCTGTGCCATGCTGTGCCACGCTGTGCCATGCTGTGCCATGCTGTGCCATGCCGTGCTGTGCATTCCGTGCTGTCCTACAGGTGAGCAAAGATACGGCCCAGGCTGAGGAGGGGCCGGCCAGCTCAGGCCCCTCTTGGCCGTGCCATGCTGTGCCATGCCATGCCATGCTGTGCTGTGCATACTGTGCCATGCTGTGCCATGCCATGCCATGCATTCCATGCCATGCCATGCCATGCTGTGCATTCCGTGCTGTGCCATGCCATGATGTGCTGTGTCGTGCCATGCTGTGCTGTGCATGCTGTGCCATGCCATGCCATGCCATGCCATGCCATGCCATGCCATGCTATGCTCTCTCCCCTCCTGGCAGCTGTACCCATGCCATGCATACTATGCCATATCATTCTGTGCCATGCCATGCATACCGTGCCATGCTGTGCCATGCCATGCTGTGCCATGCCGTGCCATGCATACTGTGCCATGCCATGCCATGCCATGCCATGACTTGCCATGCATACGGTGCCATGATGTGCCATGCCATGCTGTGCCATGCCATGCTGTGCCATGCATGCCATGCCATGCCGTGCTCTCTCCCCTCCCGGCAGCTGTACCCATGCTGTGCCATGTATACCATGCCATGCCACTCTGTGCCATGCCATGCATACCGTGCCATGCTGTGCCATGCCATGCCATGCATATTGTGCCATGCCATGCCATGCCATGCATACTGTGCCATGCTGTGCCATGCCATGCCATGCCATGCCATGCATACTGTGCCATGCCGTGCCATGCCATGCCATGCATACTATGCCATGCTGTGCCATGCCATGCCATGCATATTGTGCCGTGCCATGCCATGCCATGCATACTATGCCATGCTGTGCCATGCTGTGCCATGCCATGCCATGCATACTGTGCCATGCTGTGCCATGCCATGCATACCGTGCCATGCCGTGCCATGCCATGCCATGCATACTGTGCCATGCTGTGCCATGCCGTGCCATGCATACCGTGCCATTCTGTGCCATGCCATGCCATGCCATGCCATGCCATGCCATGCCATGCCATGCCATGCCATGCCATGCCATCTCCGGCCAGGGGCAGGGATCGCTGCCGGCACTTTGTCCTGGACCAGCAGCCGGACGGGCGCTATGTGATCCTGGGCGAGCGCAGCGCCCACGCCGAGCTGGCCCAGCTGCTGCAGCACCACAGCACGGCCCCGGTGACCCCGTACCCAGAGTTCCTCACCGTGGCCCTGCCCTGCACACGGGTGAGTGCCAGCCCCGGGGGCCCTGAGAGACCTGAGAGACCCTGAGAGATCCTGAGAGTGCCTGAGAGACCCTGAGAGTGCCTGAGAGACCCTGAGAGCTCCTGAGAGACCTGAGAGACCCTGAGAGACCCTGAGAGTGCCTGAGAGTGCCTGAGAGATCCTGAGAGACCCTGAGAGTGCCTGAGAGACCCTGAGAGTGCCTGAGAGTGCCTGAGAGATCCTGAGAGTGCCTGAGAGACCCTGAGAGATCCTGAGAGACCCTGAGAGTGCCTGAGAGACCCTGAGAGTGCCTGAGAGACCCTGAGAGATCCTGAGAGACCCTGAGAGTGCCTGAGAGATCCTGAGAGTGCCTGAGAGACCCTGAGAGCCCCAAGAGCCCCTGAGAGTGCCTGAGAGACCCTGAGAGCTCCTGAGAGTGCCTGAGAGACCCTGAGAGATCCTGAGAGTGCCTGAGAGACCCTGAGAGATCCTGAGAGTGCCTGAGAGACCCTGAGAGATCCTGAGAGCTCCTGAGAGTGCCTGAGAGACCCTGAGAGACCTGAGAGACCCTGAGAGTGCCTGAGAGACCCTGGGAGACCCTGAGAGTGCCTGAGAGACCCTGAGAGATCCTGAGAGTGCCTGAGAGACCCTGAGAACTCCTGAGAGTGCCTGAGAGATCCTGAGAGATCCTGAGAGTGCCTGAGAGACCCTGAGAGATCCTGAGAGTGCCTGAGAGTGCCTGAGAGTGCCTGAGACACCCTGAGAGCTCCTGAGAGTGCCTGAGAGACCTGAGAGTGCCTGAGAGACCCTGAGAGACCCTGAGAGACCCTGAGAGTGCCTGAGAGCTCCTGAGAGACCCTGAGAGCTCCTGAGAGTGCCTGAGAGACCCTGAGAGACCCTGAGAGCTCCTGAGAGTGCCTGAGAGTGCCTGAGACACCCTGAGAGCTCCTGAGAGTGCCTGAGAGCTCCTGAGAGTGCCTGAGAGACCCTGAGAGCTCCTGAGAGTGCCTGAGAGCTCCTGAGAGTGCCTGGGAGACCCTGAGAGTGCCTGAGAGACCCTGAGAGATCCTGAGAGACCCTGAGAGCTCCTGAGAGTGCCTGAGACACCCTGAGAGCTCCTGAGAGTGCCTGAGAGACCCTGAGAGCTCCTGAGAGTGCCTGAGAGACCCTGAGAGTGCCTGAGAGCTCCTGAGAGACCCTGAGAGCTCCTGAGAGTGCCTGAGAGACCCTGAGAGTGCCTGAGAGACCCTGAGAGTGCCTGAGAGTGCCTGAGAGACCCTGAGAGACCCTGAGAGATCCTGAGAGACCTTGAGAGACCCTGAGAGTGCCTGAGAGTGCCTGAGAGACCTGAGAGACCCTGAGAGCTCCTGAGAGCCCCCAAGAGCTCCTGAGAGTGCCTGAGAGACCCTGAGAGATCCTGAGAGTGCCTGAGAGTGCCTGAGAGTGCCTGAGACACCCTGAGAGCTCCTGAGAGTGCCTGAGAGACCCTGAGAGTGCCTGAGAGCTCCTGAGAGACCCTGAGAGCTCCTGAGAGTGCCTGAGAGACCCTGAGAGCTCCTGAGAGTGCCTGAGAGACCCTGAGAGCTCCTGAGAGTGCCTGAGAGACCCTGAGAGACCCTGAGAGCTCCTGAGAGTGCCTGAGACACCCTGAGAGCTCCTGAGAGTGCCTGAGAGACCTGAGAGACCCTGAGAGATCCTGAGAGACCCTGAGAGTGCCTGAGAGTGCCTGAGAGACCCTGAGAGATCCTGAGAGATCCTGAGAGACCTTGAGAGACCCTGAGAGTGCCTGAGAGTGCCTGAGAGACCTGAGAGACCCTGAGAGCTCCTGAGAGCCCCCAAGAGCTCCTGAGAGTGCTTGAGAACCCATGAGAGCCCTGAGAGTGCCTGAGAGACCCTGAGAGCTCCTGAGAGTGCCTGAGAGACCCTGAGAGCTCCTGAGAGTGCCTGAGAGACCCTGAGAGATCCTGAGAGACCCTGAGAGCTCCTGAGAGATCCTGAGAGTGCCTGAGAGACCTGAGAGACCCTGAGAGCTCCTGAGAGTGCCTGAGAGTGCCTGAGAGATCCTGAGAGATCCTGAGAGACCCTGAGAGCTCCTGAGAGCTCCTGAGAGTGCCTGAGAGACCCTGAGAGATCCTGAGAGTGCCTGAGAGTGCCTGAGAGTGCCTGAGAGACCCTGAGAGTGCCTGAGAGACCCTGAGAGATCCTGAGAGACCTGAGAGACCCTGAGAGCTCCTGAGAGTGCCTGAGAGACCCTGAGAGCTCCTGAGAGTGCCTGAGAGATCCTGGGAGCCCCAAGAGCCCCTGAGAGACACCGAGAGTGCCTGAGAGATCCTGAGAGTGCCTGAGAGACCCTGAGAGTGCCTGGGAGATCCTGAGAGTACCTGAGAGATCCTGGGAGCTCCTGGGAGCCCCAAGAGCCCCTGAGAGTGCCTGAGAGACCCTGAGAGCTCCTGAGAGCCCCCAAGAGCTCCTGAGAGTGTCTGAGAGACCCTGAGAGCTCCTGAGAGCCCCCAAGAGCTCCTGAGAGTGTCTGAGAGACCCTGAGAGCTCCTGAGAGCCCCCAAGAGCTCCTGAGAGTGCTTGAGAACCCATGAGAGCCCTGAGAGTGCCTGAGAGACCCTGAAAGCCCTGAGAGCCCCCAAGAGCCCCTGAGAGCCACCGAGAGCCCCTGAGAGCTCCTGAGAGATCCTGAGAGCCCCTGAGAGATCCTGAGAGCCCCCGAGAGTCCATGAGACCCCCAAGAGCTCCTGCACATTGGAATATTCCCAATCTAGCCGGACAGGACGTGCCTGAGCTTGTCTGGCCCTTGCTGCTGAACCAAATAGTGGCACTTTGGTGTTTCACCCCACAGACACTTTTGGCTGGCTGGGTGTGTGGTGTTTCACCCCACAGACACTTTGGGCTGGCTGGGTGCTGCAGCTGGGTGCTTGGAGGCAAATCCAGGCCTGCAGGAGCTCTGGTGGTGCTGGGATGGAGCTTCCCCCCATAACAGGGGCTGCTCCTCAGGTTTATCTCTGCCAGAGAAGCTTTGAGGGGATGGTGAAGGAAAGGAGTCGGTTCTGATGGAGGGTTTGGATCCAGAGCTTTATTCTGGCCCTCAGGCCTCTGAATGCAGCACCAGCTCCAACAGAACTCCCTGAGCCCGTGGTTGCTGCTCCTTTAACCCCGGGGAGAGGGGCAGGGAGGCACCAAGCAGGGACAGGAGGGGAGGGACAAGGGACAAAGGACACCTGGGTGGCCCAATGCCCCCCAGGGGTTTGAGTCTGCCAATCACTCGATGCCTTCTGGAATGCCAGGAGAGACAGACAGTGCTGGGAGGGGGAAGGAGAGGTGACTGACACCCCTGGCAGGGAATTATCAGAGGAAGGACCCGAGGTTCTGAGCTAAACCCTGAATTCACAACACAACACCTGCAGCCATCCGGAGGATTTTCCCAAGGGAAATCCAAGCATCCCAAGAGCCGGGGTTGGCGAGCAGGAGCACGGAGCCAGCAGCCGGCTGGGCGTGCCCTGAGCACACACCCATCCCCACAGCTCTCTGCTCTCCCCGCAGAAGGACGAGCCCCGAGGGCGGCCACAGCCCCCGGGTGGGGGCGATGCTGCTCATTCCCCAGCGAGCCAAGCAGCGGCCAAGCTCCCGGAGCCTCCCAGAGCTGCGGTAATGGGGCAGGGGGGATGCAGTGACAGCAAATCCCAGCCTCACCTGTGCCAGGGGGATAAAAACAGACAGGGGGGATGCAGTGACAGCCAATCCCAGCCTCACCTGTGCCAGGGGGATAAAAACAGACAGGGGGGATGCAGTGACACCCAATCCCAGCCTCACCTGTGCCAGGGAGGTAACAGGGGGGATGGAGGCACTGCCCAAGGACAGGATGAGAGAGGAGGGGAGGGATGCAGTGACAGCCACTCCCAGCCATACCTGTGCCAGGGAGATAAAAACAGGCACGGGGATTGGAGGCACTGCCCAAGGACAGGGTGGGAGGGATGTAGTGACAGCCACCCCCAGCTCTCACTTCCACCAGGGAGATGGAGCAGGGGGGATGGAGGCACTGCCCAAGGGCAGAATGGGGCAGGGGGATGCAGTGACAGCCACTCCCAGTCCTCATCTCCTCAGGGAGGTAAAAACAGGTGGGGGGATGGAGGCACTGCCCAAGGACAGGATGGGAGGGGAGGGATGCAGTGACAGCCACTCCCACCCTCACCTATGCCAGGGGGGATGGAGGCACTGCCCAAGGACAGAATGGGGCAGGGGGATGCAGTGACAGCCACTCCCAGCCTCACCTATGCCAGGGGGGATGGAGGCACTGCCCAAGGGCAGAATGGGGCAGGGGGATGCAGTGACAGCCACTCCCACTCCCACCCTCACTTGTGCATGAGGGGATGGAGGCACTGCCCAAGGGCAGGATGGGGCAGGGGGATGCAGTGACAGCCACTCTGCCAGGGAGGTAACGGGGCAGGGGGGATGAAGGCACTGCCCAAGGACAGGATGGGGCAGGGGGGATGGAGGCACTGCCAAAGGACAGAGTGGGAGGGATGGATGCAGTGACAGCCACTCCCACTCCCACCCTCACCTGTGCATGAGGGGATGGAGGCACTGCCCAAGGACAGCATGGGAGGGATGCAGTGACAGCCACTCCCACCCTCACTTTCACCCTGTCCCGTCTCCCCGCAGGCTCCGCCGTCTCTCCCTGCCAAGAGCAGCTCCCGGGGCGCGGCTCGGGGGCTGCAGAGCCCCTCCAGCAGCGCGGCAGCCCCCGAGGCTCCCTATGCCCAGGTGCACAAGGAACCCGCCCGCCCCGAGCCCCCCGAGGCCAAGTACCAGCAGCTCATGTGCTTCCACGTCTATGCTGAGCCCCGTGAGGAGATCGACCCCAGCCCCAACGAACCCCAGGAGCCCATCCCAGGGGGACCCCCCACCCCAGGGGGACCCCCCACCCCTGAGGGGCCCATCCCCTTCTATGCCATGGCCCGCGGCTGGAGCCCCCGCGGCAGCCCCGAGGAGAACATCTACTCCGAGGTGGCCCTGGCTGGGCAGGATGTGCCTGCCCGGCCCCCCAGAGCCCCCCAAAACGCCTTCTCCACGCTGCCCCCCAAAGGCCGGCCCCACCGCCGGCTGTTCCGCAGCGTTTCCAGCCAGGACTGCAGGAGGAGGCAGCACTCGGCGGCTGCCAGCACGGACAGGGAGGACACAGGAGCTCCCAGCACGGGCACACAGGTGGGTGGGGCCCCAGGGCAGGTGATGGCTCCAGAGCTCAGCCCCAACACGAGTCCTGGAGTCTGAGGGATCGGGGTTTGCTCCACACCAGGAGCACAGGGAACCTGGAATGGTTTGGGTTGGAAAGAAACCCATCCTATTTCACCCCCTGCCAGGGGCAGGGACACCTTCCATGATGCTCCAAGTCCTGTCCAACCTGGCCTGGAACGCTCCAGGGATGGGGCAACCACAGCTTTTCTGGGCAACTTGTGCCAGGGCCTCATCACCCTCACAGAGAAGAATTCCTTCCCATTATCCCACCCATCCTTGCCCTCTGACAGTGGGAAGAATTCCTCCCCAATATCCCATCCATCCCTGGCAGTGGGCATAATTCCTCCCCAATATCCCACCTAACTCTGGTAGTGGGAAGAATTCCTCCCCAATATCCCACCTATCCCTGCCCTCTGGCACTGGGAAGCCATTTCTTCACAATATCCCATCCATCCCTGGCAGTGGGAATAATTCCTCCCCAATATCCCACCTATCCCTGCCCTGTGTACTGGCAAGAATTTCTCCCCAATATCCCATCCATCCCTGCCCTCTGGCACTGGGAAGCCATTTCTTCACAATATCCCATCCATCCCTGGCAGTGGGAAGAATTCCTCCCCAATATCCCACCTAACTCTGGTAGTGGGAAGAAATTCCTTCCCAATATCCCACCTATCCCTGCCCTCTGACAGTGGGAAGAAATTCCTTCCCAATATCCCATCCATCCCTGGCAGTGGGAAGAATTCCTCCCCAATATCCCACCTAACTCTGGTAGTGGGAAGAAATTCCTTCCCAATATCCCACCTATCCCTGCCCTCTGACAGTGGGAAGAAATTCCTTCCCAATATCCCATCCATCTCAGGCAGTGGGAGGCCATTCCTTCCCAATATCCCACCTATCCCTGCCCTGTGCACTGGCAAGAATTCCTTCCCAATATCCCACCTAACCCTGCCCCCTGCACTGAGAATTCCTTCCCAATATCCCCCCTATCCCTGGCAGCAGGAAACCATTCCCCCTTGTCCTGTCACTCCAGGTCCTTACAAAAACTGGGTCCATGTCCCAAAGCCAAGGGCTGGGAGGGTGAAAACCCAACCCTGTGCTGTTTCTTTCCTGGCTCTCAATTCCCTCTCTCTGGGAATCCCCCAGGTTGTCCTGAGCCCTGAGCTGGAGCTGGATGACCCCGTGTACAGCAGGAGCACACCCAGGGACCTGCACCCCACAGCTGAGAATGTGTACGAGCAGCTGCCTGGGGACTGCTCCTAAACCACCTGGACAGCACCTGGCTCCCAGGCAGGAGGAACCTCAGCCTCCCCCTCACTGCAGGAAGCCCTTGGCCCTGGGAGGAGCTCCAAGGCTGCTGTTGGCCCCAGCTGGCAGTGCCAACCTGCTCCTCCAGCTTCCCAACCCTGCTGGACAGCACAGGGGGAGCCTTACCCTACCCATGAACACGTTCCCAGAGACTTCTGGTAATAAAATGAGGGGAAAAGGCTGTTCCAGGAAAAACAGGGATGAGTTTGGCACAGTTGGTGCAGGCAGTTGGGTATTAAATTGGCCAGAAAGTGGGAAAAAGGCTACAGGTTACAGGAAAAACAGGGATGGGTTTGGCACACTTGGTGCATGCACTTGGATATTAAATTGGTCAGAAATTGCAGTGATGCTACACTGAACCTCTCCAGCCTGCAGCCAACACTCCAAGCCCTGCCTGCTTCCTCAGCCACAAAATCTGGGATGACACCACTGTCCCAGGGCTGTCCTGAGAGGCTCCCAGCCCAACAGGAGCGGGGAGCCAGGATGGTCAAAGCCATGGCTTGGAGGGGAAAGGAGGGTTGGGGACTGTAGCTGTTTAATCTCTGGGCAAATTCGCTCCTGACCTTTCACAGACCTGAATTTTGTTGCTCTCAGAGGGCTGAAAGTGGAACACAAGCCCTTGGAAGTTCCCTTGGTGCTAAACCCAAGCCATAACCCCAACGAGAAATGGAAAGGGGAAGGTGGCAGTTCCAGCCCCCACACTGCAAAATCCCCAGGCCAAGAGGGTACCTGGATGAGGATCTGAGCCCCTGGTGATGGAAACAGGGCTGGGTGTGTTCATTTAGAAATATGTTCCTTCAGCAAATCTCTTCTGGGAGGGTTTCACTGTACATACAAGATATGAATAAATTACTCAACAGTAACTTTATTCTGATCATTCAAATACTCAAAACAGGCTCTGCAAAATACTAAACATACAGGGAGCTAAACTAAAAATGAGATTAGTTTAAAATGTTCTAAGAAAAGACTTCAGTCATGGGGGTTTGCCTGTTTTTAAGAGGTACCATGGGAGAAAAAACACCTCTTGGGAGTTCTTCTTACCAGAATAACAAATATTGGCCATTTGAGCCAAATAAAACCCAGATTGGTGGGAATATAAGTTAAATAACCAGGCCAGCTCTCTGCTCCCTTCAGCATCACATGCTTTGGTGAACAACAAAGTGATGCCACAGATTTGGATCCATGGATTGGGCCAGCAGAGCTGCACAGGATTTGCAGTCGCATCACCTTGAGAGAATTCCTTAAATAAAATAAAAAAAAAGGTTTGATTTGAAGAAATTAGGGCTGGGCAGTCTCCTCTTCCCAGCCAGGAGGGTAAAGTCAACACTTAATTGAAACAGAATTGATACAAACAAGCTGGGAAAAAAAAAAAAATTACAGTTGGCAGCTGTCCTCTGTGTGTGCCCAGAGGAAAGTGCAGAGCTCAGTCCCAGGCAGCCACACGAGGGACACTCACTTTGATGAGTCTGAGGACAGCCTGGGGCAGGACAGGAGGCCTTGGGCTGGGGGAGAAGGAAAGAGGAGGAAAAAGGAAGGACAATGTACATGCACACATGGCTCAGGGGAACCCAAAGCCCTGAGTGTGCCAGGCAGGAGAGCCTCCCCTCCACGTGTGGTGCTTCCCCTGGCACAGGCTCTGAGCTGCACGAGGGTGTCCCCTCAGCCTGTGGAGCCCAGAGAGAAAACACCCAATTAAAAACCAGGATATCAAAATTATTCAAAATTATTGACATGAGAGGAGTGCTGGAGCAGCCCAGACATGAGGAAACAGCTGTGAGGACACCTTAAAGGTAAGGATCAAAATAAAAATTCCAAAGCCAGGCTTGCTCTTGGAACTCACCGTGTTTTAGAAAGGAAAACGACATTCTCAATGCACAGCAAGTCCAAGAGAGGAACAAAGTGGGAACTGGGAGTTTATTGAGCCTCTGCTGAAGGGTCAGAAGGCCCAGCCTGTTCCCTCAGGCCAGGAGCTGCAGCCTCACACCCAGCACGTTCCCTGCGGTGCCTTGGGACCGTCCTTGGCCGGTGGGAACCTTCCACATTTACAAGGAGGGAGGGGAAGGATTAACAGCTGGAGTTCCAGGACCTGCTTGCAATGCCCCTTCTTCCTGCCAGGCCAGGGAGTGCAGTGTCCTCCCAGCCCCATGCTGGGGCCTGGCTGATCTCCAGGAGCCCAGCAGACACCGGACACAGCAGCCAAAAAGCAGGACAGATGTGTCAGAATCCATACTTGGCTTGAGTCTGCCTTCTGCTGAGCTTGTTTTCAGACCATGTGTTTTTCAGTTCCAGCTCCCTCTCCTTGGCCTGCAGAGATGGAGAGGATGCTGTTAAAGCCTCTGTGTTTCAGTGACTCAGCAGCATTCCTGCCTCATGTGGATTAGGGAGCCCTTCAGCCAGAAGCCTCTGTTACAGGGCTTTGCACAATCATCCTGACAGAGGCCTGGATTAATTGGGATGCACAGGCATTTCATTGATGCTGAAAAGCAGCTTCTCGTGGGGACAGGGGTTTGCACAATCATCCTGACAGAGGCCTGGATTAATTGGGAATGCACAGGCATTTCATTGATGCTGAAAAGCAGCTTCTCGTGGGGATGGGCTCAGCAGCCAAGCCCGGGGCAGAATGCAGGACAGGATCCCAGGGCCTCAGAACGTGCAGGAAGGGCAAAGCAAAGCTGAAATCTCAGGGCTGGGATCCCCTCGGAGCCAGGACTCACTCCTGGCCCCACTGGGTCTCACCAGGGGCTTCTCAGGGACAGCCCCTGGCACCCCAGCCTTGTGTTGCCCTGCAGTTCTGCTGGATCAGCTCACACACCACAGGGAGGTCACTCACCTGGTGGATCAGGTATGTGATCTGGTGTTTTCTCCTCTGCTGTCCTGTGGGCTGATCTCCTTTTTTCTGGAAAAGCAGAAAGAGGTGAAGTGTTCAGCCTGGAGAGGTGCTTGGACAGCAAACCAAGACCAGGGCCTGCACAGAGCCATCCCCAGCAGCATTTGTTCCCCATTAAACTGCAGATTTAAATTCCTGGGGCTGCAGCACTTCCTGGCTGGCCCTCCCCAGCCACATGCTGTGTTCTGAGGAACTCCACTGGTCTCACATGTCATCATTTCCCCTCCCTGCTGAGTGCCCAGCACCCAGCACAGCTCCAGCAGGATTTAGGCACTGAGCAGAGGCTCCAGGCACAGCCCTCACCCTCCACCCACCTTGCTGAATGACTTCATGGTCTTCTCCTCTGTCAAGGATTTGGTCAGCCACTGCTGGGCCCCGCTCAGCTGGTCGTCACCTTTGATGTCCACAAAGTTGATCTCCTCCCTCCCACGATTCCTCTTGCCCTGCAGACGTTTGAACTGAAGGCAGAACAGAAGAGTTGGAATTACACCCAGCACTGACCTGACACCAGGCACAGCTAACAGTTTTTCAGCTGGGGTTTTGATCTTTTGGAGATTTCCAGTGTGCTGGACATCAGAATATCTAAAACTACTTAGCATGAAGGTTTTAATTTCATTTTCCTATGTAGAAAGCAGCATTTGCTGCTGCTTCCATGCAGTGCCCATCCCCTGTGCTGGCATCTCCAATCCTAGGGTCAGTTTGGGGCCCCTCATGACAAGAAAGAGATTGAGGAGCTGGAGCATGTCCAGAGAAGCAAACAAAGCTGGGGAAGGGGCTGGAGCACCCTGCAAGTCCTTAGGGCCCCAGATGCCACCTTTCATCTGATACCCAGACCCTGGGCCAATGACTTCATTTTCCCCATGGAAAATGCCTCCATTTGTGGCCTCTCGCCCTTACCAATAGGGTGGTGCCCGGCAAGAAATTTGCAAACTTTGCTGGATTTCTCCAAATCTAAAGCTGCCAGTAAGTACTACCCTGCAAGTCCTTAGAGCCCCAAAGGCCACCTTTCATCTGACACCCAGACCCTGGGGAAAGGACTTCTTTTTCCCATGCAAAATGGCCTCTCTTTGCAGCCATTTGCCCTGGGGAGGCTGAGGGGGCTCAGGGGGACAATCTGGCCATGCACAAGGCCCTGACAGGAGGGGACAGCCAGTGAGCTCTGCTCCCAGGGAACAGGGACAGGACAAGAGAAAATGGCCTCCTCAAGGAGTGCCAGGGTTAGATGAGGTTGGACACAGGGAATATTCCTCCACCCAGAGGGTTGTCCAGCCCTGGCACAGGCTGCAGTGGTGAAGTCCCCACCTCCAGAAGGATTTAAAAGCCACATGGATGTGGCACTTGGGGACTTGGTTTAGTGGTGGCCTTGGCAGTGCTGGGTGATGGTCTTGGGGACCTTTTCCAACCTCAACAATTGATTCTATTCTGTACTTAATGGGCCTGCAGAGCCAGCTGGAGCAGGAGCCCACACGTGCCCACAACACAGCACAGGCCCCCCCAGAAAAACCACCCAGCCCAAAGCCCTGGAAACCCAGGCTGTGCTGGGGGGCAGGAGAGTGGCTGCCAAGAGGCTCCTGAGCTCTGGCAGAGCTCCAAGCCAAATTCCACAGAATCTGGGGACAGAAAATCAGGTGCCAACCGCTTCGTCGTCGATGAAGGAGGAGTCAGTGCTGGTCTCCTGTGGTGAGGCCTGGGCTGGTTCCACCTCAGGGTAGTACCCACTGCTGTAGTAATCCTGGCAGGGAAACAGGGAAATGGAAACCAGTTTGGCATGAGAGCAATCCTGGAGTGGCACCAGGCACAGACTGCCCTGTGGGCTGAGCCCATCAGAGGGACAAAGCAACAAATGCTCTGAGGGACCTCTCACAAGGAGTGACAGGACAAGGGGAATGGCTTCCCACTGCCAGAGGGCAGGGATGGATGGATATTGGGAAGGAATTCTTCCCTGAATTCTTCCCTTGCAGTGAGGTCCTGGCACAAGCTGCCCAGAGTAGCTGGGGCTGGCCCTTCCCTGGAAGTGCTCAATGCCAGGCTGGACAGGGCTTGGAACAACCTGGGATAGTGGAAGGTTGGAACCCTGGCACTGGATGGGCTTTAAGGTCCTTTCCAACCCAAAGCAGTCTAGGATTCTATTTATTAGAATTCCATTTCTTAGAATTCCATTTCTTAGAATTATTAGAAACAACCAGAGCTCAGACACCAGCTCCAGTGAGCCCTGACTCTGCACCCTCACATGCAGGGCATTTTCACAGGAGTGCAGCTGTTAAACATCTGTCTGGCAAAGCACATCTGCAGCTCTCATGCTGTAGGAATCCCCTTTGGCCTGGTGCTGTGGCTCCCTGTCCCAGATAGCTTGGGCTGGATTACCTGCCCTGTGTCCCAGGTACCTCACACAGGCTGCATTCCCTGCCCCATGTCCCAGGTAGCTCTCAAGGGCTGCATTCCCTGCCCTGTGTCCTAGATACCTCACATAGGCTGGATTACCTGCTCTGTGTCCCAGGTACCTCACACAGGCTGAATTCCCTGCCCTGTGCCCCAGGTACCTCACACAGGCTGCATTCCCTGCCTCATGTCCCAGGTACCTCACACAGGCTGCATTCCCTGCCTCATGTCCCAGGTATCTCACACAGGCTGCATTCCCTGCCCAGGTACCTCACACAGGCTGAATTTCCTGCCCTGTGTCCCAGGTACCTCACACAGGCTGAATTCCCTGCCCTGTGCCCCAGGTATCTCAGACAGGCTGAATTCCCTGCCCTGTGTCTTAAGTAGCTCCCAAGACCTGCATTCCCTGCCCCGTGCCCCAAGCAGCTCACAAAGGCTGGATTACCTGTCCAGATACCTCACACAGGCTGCATTCCCTGCCCAGGCACCTGACACAGGCTGCATTCCCTGCTCTGAGCCCCAAGCAGCTCACACAGGCTGCATTCCCTGCCCCATGTCCCAGGCACCTCACAGAGGCTGCATTCCC